TTATAGTGGTGAAAGTAAAGAAAAATAACATGAAGTGAAAATTTGGTTTCTTAATTTTTGCCACAATTACAGTGACTGTAAAACACTTTGGGGGAAATCCCTTGGTATATTTTACTGTAAACCTGTGCATTCCTCATCCTCAAGTACCTGTCCAACTTCTCTTTAAAATGATTTATGCAATCAGTTTCCAGCACCTTTTCAATCAATGCAATATGGATCCCAACAAGTGAAAATATTTCTCTTCATTTTGCATCTAAATCTTTCACCAAAGATCCTAAATCTATCTTTTCTGACTATTGATCCTCTTACAAGAAGTAATAGTTTGTCTGTATCTAATCTCTTAACTTTCTCTTATTTAAACCCCTAAGTAATCATCGTTTATGATTCTGTGTTCCAAGAACAAAGGACAGTGGAATTATTTAGCTGCGTGATTCAAACAGACAGCTGGCACAGAAATTATAGGCTGAAAGACCCGCTTTGGTGCTACAGTACAGTATTCTATGATTCCAACGAGAACAGTCCTAATTTTTTAAACACTTCCTCATAACTTCCATCCCTTATCTCTGGCAATCTCATGGTGAGCTTCCGTTGCACTTTGTTCAGGGCCTTTACATCTTTTGAGAACTGTCCACAACATTCCAATCATGTGATTACCACATATTTTTCAGTCTGGTTGCCAAAACCTTAAATTCCTCTGTAAGACCTCAAACATACTTCCACTTTTGTTCTGCCTGCACCACAGGTTTTAGTAGTTATCATTCCCATTACAAACTTTTTTTCCATGACTTTTTCAATACCAGTACATCAGGAAGGCAGTGCAACATCCTATTCTCCAATTACAGCTCCAAGAAAAGGCTGTGAATTCCAAAAATGGTGGAATTTCTCATTAATTCCACTTTCCTAATCCAGCAATTCAACTCCACCTCCCCCTTATTCCACATAACTACAATGTTGCTCAGGACAATTCTCTGTTCAGTTACTTCAGCATGTTAAGGTGGCTGTTACAATGCACTCAAAATGCCAAAAGAGCTGTGGAAAACACTTAGACATTGTACAGCACACTTAGATGTCAGGTACCAGCGGGCCTAGCTTCCTCCTGCGGACTGAATCTTTTGGATCAATAAAGCTCCAGCTCCAATTGTATATATTTGTGGTGTTGGCTATCAGTTTTACATTTTTGATTTGTATAATTGTGCCTGAAACCTGAATTCAAAAAATTGAATGTTTAATTCTGAAAGACTGAGCACCATTGTAATGCTCCATATTTTTATTTTGTCAACAGAATATCGAATTGTCTTATTCATTCCATACCAGAGGCAGATTATTTGTATCATTGTAAGACCAAAGACATACCTGAGAAGCCAAAACTATCATGATTAGTTTAGCGGTAACCAACACCCCATTTTCCAAAATAATTTTATTATTTTCAGAAGTATTTCTAATGAAGATTGATTGGATTATTAGACCTTTTTTATTACATTCATTAGTATCAACCGTTTTGCACTGCATCTGTATGTGTACCAGCAACTACATATTAGTAATTAAAATAAACCAAAGAACTGCGGATACTGAAGATATAAAACAAAAACAGAAATTGCCAGAGAAACTCAACAGGTCTGGCAGCATCTGGGGACAGAAAGCAGAATTAATGTTTTGAGTCTTTAGAACTGGCAGTAGCTAGGAAAAGGTGGTATTTATGCTGATAACAGGGAGTGAGTGGGAAAAGGAGTGAGTAGATAGGTGGTGACTCCATCTCCACCTACTTGCTCACTCACCAATCCCCCCTGCATCCCCAAAAACACACATACCCACCCACCCCCTAATCAGCACATATACCACCTTTTAGAACATAGAACAGTACAGCAAGCAACATGCTCTTCACCTCACCATGTCAGTGCCAACCATGATGCCATTCTAATCTAATCTTATCTCCCTACACATAGTCCATATCTCTCTATTTCCTGCCTGTTCATGTGTCTGTCTAAATGCCTCTTAAACATTGCTGTCATATCTGCTTCTAACACCTCCCCTGGTAGCATGTTCCAGGCTCCGACCACCCTCACCTGTAAAAACTTACCTCACATATCTCCTTTAAATTTTCCCCCTCTCACCTTAAATCTATGCTCCCTAATATTGGACATTTCTACCCTGGGAAAAAGACTGACTGTCAACCCTATCCATTCTTCTCATAATTTTATATACTTCAATTAGGTCACCCCCTCAGCCTCCGATGTTGTAGCAAAAAGAATTCAAGTTTGTCCAACTTCTTTTTATAGCTACTGCACTCCAATCCAGGCAACAGCCTGGTAAAGCCTTTTTGCATCCTCTCCAACGGCTCTTCATTCTTCCTCTGATGTGGTGACCAAAACTGCACACAATACTCCAAATGTGGCAGAACTAAGGTTGTATACAGCTACAATATTATTTGCTAACTTTTACACTCAATGATTGATGAAGGCAAGCACACCATGCACTTTCTTTACCACATTATCCACTTTCAAGGAACTATGGAATTGTATCCCAAGATCTCTCTGTATATCAATGCTACTCAGTGTTCTGCCATTTACTGTATACTTTCCTCTTCCATTTGACCTCTCAAAAGTTACTATTAGCTCTGAAGAAGGTCACCGAACATGAAATTTTAACTACGCTTTCTCTCCACAGATGCCATCAGACCTGCTGAGTTTCTCCAGCAATTTCTGGTTTTGTTTCAAATATTAGCGATTGATACTCCATCCCTCAGGCTATAATTTCACCCATCTCAAGTTAAGATGCAGTGAGTAATAAACAATTGAGGGCCGTAAAACAATCGCAGATCCTTAAATCATATAATTCTGCAAAAACTGGTTTACGTCTGATACAACTGCTTGATGACATGAGGCTAAAGTGAGAGAAAACAGCCTTATGAGAAAACTAAATTATAACAGACAAATGACCAAGGTTTTGACCTCCATTTTTAATATCATAACATTGTATGCAAGTACATTTAAACAGATTCTGTAGAGAAACAAATATTCAAACACATATAGGACTGTAATCAAACAAAATCATCTTCCATCATTAGAAAGTATTAAGGTCTTTCCAGTACTGAATGGGTCAATAGATTAAATATTTTCACGGTCATTTTGAAGCACATATTCATCTTAAAAATGTGAACATGCTATTTTACGGGTGGAAGTGAGTTTCCATTTTGGGTACAGATTGTGCCAGCTTTTGGAATTGAATCCTTTATTCTGATGTCCAACATATTTGCATAACATATAATCATTCATTAGCCAGCACAATAGTCCTGTGTTTTATGATACAATTGTCTTTTTCCCCTTGTTTAAGAAGATTTTCTTGATATAGGCAGCAAAGTGGTCTAGTTTTATTCATCTACATAAAATTGGTCCAGAACAAAATAATAAGTATTTTAGTCAGATTGTTGCTCCACCAGGCCTGAATAACTTGATTAAATGTAATTTCAGTTGCACAAAGAAAACTATAGTGAACCATTTATTAATTTCATCACAGCACAAAGGTTTCAGTACATTAAATATTGAGGAGCTTTTAAAAGATAATCATCTTTTAAGGTTAAGGCAGTCTCAATTATGGCTTTCATCAGAGGATAAGACCATCATCTGAAGTGGAAGTAATCTAACGTTACAGGGATCGAGCGGTGCGAGGCGAATTCCTCTGGCAGTGAGCTAGCATGGAGACGATGGGTCAAATAGCCCTATTTTGGGCTGAAATGAATATTTGATTCTGTGCTGATTAGCATCTTTTTCTGTACAAAAAGTCTTAATGGTAAGAGCTTCCTTAGGCCTATAAATAAGGACAATTAGCAGAAATACATTATGGTGGTTAGTTGGATTTGGGATATTTGGCCAATTTTATGAACAAGAACTGCTTCCAGCACAAAAAAAATAGAAACTGCATTTGTACTGAAGAGAATCTAAGCTTGGAGCCCTCGATAGTTCACATTGGCCACATTGGACAAATTGCAGTTAAAGTAAACAACACAACCTAATGGAAACTCCATGTCAATTCTGCTATAAAGTGTTTTGGGATTAAGAGAAAATCTGTCACTAGGAGTCAGTCTTTTTATTTACAGTGTCTCAGTATTAAGCACACCCAAATTTGATATTGGCATGTTAGATATAATGCAAAGCTAATCTCACTGTAGCCCTACTACATTATTTTCACTTTAACAATAAGATCTTGCATTTATAAAATGTTTTGTCAAGCAGCATGAATCAAAAAATGATTCTGAGCCACAAAACTCAAAGAGGACGGTATTACAGAGTGCCTGAAAGGAGCAGAAATGCCAAGAAATTTGGGGAAAAAAATTTCAGTTCAATATTTTGGCAGCTGAAGGCACAGCTCCAAAGTTGGATCACTTAAAACAGAAGATGCTCAAGCGATCAGTTTGAGTGGAACACAGATACCTCAGTGGGTTGGTAGGCTAAAAACTCGGCAAACAGAAATCATGCAGGGATTTGAAAACAATTAAGGAAGAGAATTTCTAAATGGAGGTGTTGCTTAAGGAGACAATGTAGTGAGCATAGGTGCAATGGCTGAATATGACTTGGTGAGAGTTAGGATGTTGGCAGATTTTTAGATGACCTCAAATTTACATTGGTTGAAATGTGGTAGTCTGACGAAGAATACATTGGATCAGCTGGCAATCATTATAACTCCTTCAATTTAGATTTTGAGATCAGTATAAAATTTTGTACTTTAATCTTAGATTCCGTGGAAACTGAATTGTGATCATCCATTATGCCTGTTTGGGATTCATCTTAGCTGGTGGGGATTTTCAGTCAGAAACACTTCTTTCCTAGGTTACCTTTTAACCTAGTGCACCATTTATTCCCTTAGAAACCATTCTCACCCGCAACTCATGGCAGAAATACCTAAAACTAAACTTGATAAATATATCGAACAGTAGAAACTGTTTTAATTTCCAGTCATCCTGAAATAGATAACTACATCAATCAAATGTGATGTGCACTGCACCATCAGAATGAGGAAGAAGCTGAACTCCATGATGACACCAGTCTAGCAAGTGGAGATTCACTGAGCACCTCCATTGCTGTTTCACTTGAACTTGTCACAGTGGCCAAGGATGAGGGAGTTGTTGGCAAACTCAGGCTTCCTCCAATAAATGGGCTTTGAGGGTTTCCAGAAGCTGAGCTCAGTGTGTTGGTTGGGGTCACAGAACCATTACCAACTGTCCAGTGGCATGTATAGTGGCTAAAAGTACAAATACAAATAAATGTCCAATCAAAACAGATCTAAAGAGATTATGCCATATCTCATTTTATGAATTGTGGCTGGTGCAGGTTATGTTACTATTTCCAAGGTCTGTTTTACATTGATTAGAGAAAAGAAAACTTGCGTTATTTACAGTGCCTTTCATGAGTACTGGATCTCCAAAATCTCTTTACAGAAAATGATGTCCTTTTGACATGTGGTCACTGCTGTACTGTGGGAAACAATGATTGTAAACAAATATGTATTTGCAAAGTAAAGGTCAGGATAATTATGAAGCTGGCTCAGATATGTTCATTTCCAACAGTCGTAGCTAATTATATTTGCACAGATTTGTAATGCTGTCAACAGTCCAGTTAGATAGAGAAATAGAGTAATGAATTACAGGCAGGTTGAAAATATCTGAATTTTCTGTTAATTTCCTATTTCCCCATTTGATTCCTCCGTCCCAATCAGTCCTCAACTGTATCTGTCTGCAGGCAGTAATCTTTGTCAAAGGTTTTCCAAAGGACACCAATCACAGAAACAAATGATATAATGCATAACATATGAACAAAAAATAAATGCAGAATCATACCCAAGTATCTTCAGGTAAAGTGAGAGAAAATTGGGGCAATTGGGATGCACCATCCCAACTTAATTGATGCCATTTGATAGGCATCTAGCAAAGCTGTCACCGCTCAAGAACTTACTTTCTAAATAATTTATGACATTTTAATTTTAATGTTATCAACACAATGGCCAATTGTGAATATTCAGATTAAAATAGAAGATAGAAGGGACATTGTGGAAAAACCTGCAACTTGCTTCAGTTCTGGTGAGTTGTGTACATTGCAAAAATAATGCATAAATTACAGTGTAGTGAATATTGGCAACACTGATTTCAGTGAACGTTTCAGTTAATTTTAGACATCAAAATGAAATGATTTATTCCTCAGAATTAATTGCCAAGTGTTTACACCCTAGATTTTACTTTATAAATATTGATGAGATTACGAGCACTCACTATTACGAAAGAGTAAAAGAGTAAATCAGACTGCAAATAGCAGCATCCACCCATCCAAAAATAAACAATGAAATTAAAAGTTTCTCTTTAAGTTGCCCTTGTCCTCCAGAAGCTTTGCTATACCAGTATTTTACAGAGAGATTTAGAATTCAAATATGAGGAATAGGATGAAGTTAGTGTACTTGCCCACTAAAAATATTGGACATTGTCAATTCAAATGTAATTTTTAAACAAAGTGTTAAATCTTAACCACTGCAAAACAACCTTTGAACATTGACTTTTCAAGCATGAGTCTCATTCCTTATGAATTTAATGATTGCTGATTAAAAAAAAGTTGGCTTTAAAAATCTTTTTCTTTTTCACTGTGGTTAAGGAGATACACCATTGCTTTCTCTGTTCACAGATGCCCCAATCCCTGGTCGAGTAATCGGTTTTAAATTTCTAGCAGCAGCATGTTTCAGTGCAAAATCCCAGAGGAAGTCTGAGGGTAACTGTAGGTGCAATGGACAGAGAGCACTGTTCATTCGTTACTGACCCCAAAATCAGATTTGCTATGCCATATGTTTATTGGTGGCATATCATTGAGAAGGGCTTGAAAACAAAATTTGATAACAGACTCTAGAGGTTGTATCCTGCACTTTTTCTTAATGATGCAGGAACTGACATCCAAATTAGAAAAAAATCAAATTTGTGTCAAGAGATCAAAATTTTTAAGCATCACGTGACATTAGTGACAGTTTATGGCTTTGATTCCACTCATCAGGAACAAATTGCTGCATTGAAAATCTAGGGCAGTGTACTTAAACATCTTATTCCTATTAGCCATCTACTTCAGGTAGCCCACCAAAGTAATAAATTCAGACATGAACCTCCTTCTAATTATGGACATCAAACTCTTACATTGTGTTACTGTTTGGATTGACTGTGGTCCATGAATGATACTAAATATTAGGCAACCTAACAAATATATCTTAAAGGAATCTGCTCAGATATGGACAAACAACAAGTTGTTCTTGGAGATTGTTAGTGGTGCGTTGAGGAGGGGTAGTCAAAAAGAGCATTTCCCTCTCCCATCACCAGTAATTTTCTTTCCCACATCCCTTTAAATCCTGGCTTCCAGCTCCACTCCGCATAGTGTCTCTCGATTCTCCAGTATCCCGAGCTGCTCATGATTATGGGTTCTGTACCTTCATCAATTTGTCAGTATGTGTTTCTGCTACTCTGAAGGATATCCTTGTTCCATACTTCAAAGGTTCAATTCAATTGAATATTTGTTGACAGATTTCTCCTTGACTTAATTACAATTCTTTTTCACTTCATTCAAATCAAACAAAAGATGCAACAAGCTAAATACTTTGCATATCAAGTGAATTTCCAAAATAAAGTGGTATTAACAATGATAATTTTAAAAGTTTGCTGACCTGTTTAGAAGTCTCATCCACCCACAATAATGTAAACCCTGGAACAATCCTGCCTATGCATATGACCTGTATGGCTCACCTGGCATTGGATCCAGTTCCAGCTGTATGGGTCACTGGTAACATGTTGGCATATGGTGGAGGTGGCAATGTTGACCAGTTGTCATGTGCAGGTAAAGCCTGAAGGCTGTTGCTAGAGTTTTCTGAAATGGACACTTGGTAAAACCATAAAACTGATGAGTAAATCAAACAGATTGTGTTTGAAATTAAAAAAAAAACACCCATTTTCCTTCCCATTCAGATACTAACAGCGGCCGTTCATATTCATTACTCAGTTTAGAGATCAGGGCCATGGACTTATGAACTCCCAGCAGGCTTCAGAAGATGTGCTTCAGAATACAGTACAACTGTACCTTATTTTGCATTCCAAAATTGTTATGAAACAAAAGTATGCTAAATGAAAACAAATTTCTCATTAGTAAACAAAAAGTTACGTTGAAGTTAACTGCCTTGAAGTTAACTGGCTGCTTAGCAATTCTCAATAACTTGCACTTCTAACTCTTTCAACTTACTTCATGGTCACTGCCTCACTCAAATTTCTAGTATGCTGTTTCTCTTGTTCTCCTCCTCCATCCTCAGCCCTTCAAGCTTGACTAACTTGCAGGTTCAGTTAGCCATTAGGCAGGTTAATGAAATGTCAGCATTCACTTCAAGAGGGCTAGAATGCAAGAGCAGGGATGTACTGCTCAGGCTGTATAAGACTCTGGTCAGTTTTAAACACCAGATCTTAGGAAGGATTTGCTGGCCTTGGAGAGAATCCAAAGGAGGTTTACAAGAATGATCCCAGGGATAAAGGGCTTATCAGGACACTAAGTCTGTATTTGACAGAATTTAGAAGGATGAGGTGGGAATCTCATTGAAACTTGGAAAATACTGAGAGGCCTGGATACAGTGGACGTGGAAAAGATGTTTCCAATAGTAGAAGAGACTAGAACTTGAAGCACAGCCTCAGAATGAAGGGACAATCCTTTAAAATTGAGATGACAAGGAATTTCTTCTCTAGAAGGTGGTAAACCTGTGGAACTCATTGTCACAGAAAGCTGTGGAGGTCAAGTCATTGTTTATATTTAAGACAGATATAGGTAGGTAGTTGATTAGTAAGTGGATCCAAGGATATGGGGAGAAGGCAGGAGAATGGGGTCGAGAAACATACCAGCGATGATCAACTGGTGGAGCAGACTCAACAGGCCAAATGGCCTAATTCTGCTCCTATATCTTCTGGTCTTATGTCACCTCTCCTGCTCCCCAATCCTCCCACTCGCCAATATCTCTCCCTTACCCTCCCACTCAACATCTCCCTCTGCCAATGCCTTTCCTGAATCTCTGGGCTTGGAAGAGGGACTGGGAGAGATTGGGAAAGAGTAAGAAACAAGAGAAATTGCAAGTGGCTGGAAGGGAGCAGGACAGTCAGCAAGTGGGACAGAGAGAATTAAAGAGAGGTAATGTATGGAAGATTAGGAACGGAAGCAGAAAGCAGTAGTTTCTTTAAAAACTGAATCAGTGCTTTGGCTAAAATTAAAATGTGGCAAAACTTTTGGAGAAGGTCTCTATTTTAAGAACTGTGCAAAAATAAGAATGCATCATTTATTTTCGTTTTTTTCTTCTTTTTAAGAAGGCACTATTAAGAAATACCTTAAACAGGAAACACCTGCAATATCTTTCTTTTAATTAGATGCATTAGCTAAAGCCTTAATTTATGTCATCATTTTTAAAAAAATTCCCTGAAGCCAATTAAAGTTGTCTGTAGAACCAGGTCTAAATAATTTTGGTTTTCCCAGTTTAAATTCTGTCTGTAAATATCCATTCTATTTTTGATGAAATAACAGAATGACAACTTCATTGCTTTTCATCTCTAGCCTCTCCCCTCTTTTTTTTTGCAAAAGTATACTTTATTCATAAAATATCTACAAACTTGTCAATTTGTACTTTACAGAAAATGCCATGTTTCTCAACTGAGCATTTTGCGTGCTTCTTTTATTCATTGTTGGGATGAGGGCATTGCTAGCTGATCCAGCACTTCTGCCTGTCCCTAGCTACATGTAAGACTGGTGAACTGCCTTCTTGAACTGATGCATCTATGTGCAATAAATAGAGCCCATAGTGCCATTAGGGAGAGTGTTCCTAGATTTTGAACCAGTGACACTGCAGGAACAACAATATATTTCCAAGTCAAGATAGTGAGTGGCTTGGAAGGAAACTTGCAGGTGATGTTGTCCCCATGTGTCTGCTGCCATTCTCGTGGCTGTAGGTTTTGAAGGTGCTGTCTAAGGAGATTGGTGAATTTCTGCATCCTGTAGACAGTACACACTGCTGCTACTGAGCTTCAGTGGTGGAAGGAGTGAATGTTTTTAGATGTGGTGCCAATCAAGCAACTTGCTTTGTCCTGGAAGGTGTCAAGCTTCTTGAGTGATATTGAAGCTGCAGTCATCCAGACGAGTGGGGAGTATTCCATCACACTCCTGATTTATGGCTTAAATGATTGTAGGAAGGCTTTGGAGAGACACAGGTGAGTTTCTAGGTGAATAATTCCTTTGGTTTACACCCTCTGACCTATTCTTGTAGCCACAATATTTTTATGGCCAGTCCAGTTGAGTTTTTCTTTAATGGTAACCCTGAGGATGTTGGTATTGGAGCTTCCGTGATGGTAGCACGATTGAACGTCAAAGGTGGATCATTAGATTGTCTCTTATTGGTGATGATCATTGTCTGGTATTTGTATGTTGTGAATGTTACTTGTCAGTTGTCAATCTAAACCTAGATATTGCCCAGGTGTTGCTGAATTTGGACATGGATTGCTTTAGTATTTGAGGAGTCATAAATGTTTTTGAACACTGTGCAATTGTCAGCAAACAACCCCACTTTTGACCTTATGATAGAGGAACAGTCATCAATGAAACTAACGAAGATGTTTGGCCTAGGACACTATTGCCTAGAACTAGTTCCCCAAGGAACTCCTTGAGATATATCCTAGTGCTGAGATGATTGTCCCTCAACAACTACCACCACCTTCCTTTGTTTTCAGTATGACATCAACCAGTGGAGAGTTTTCTTCCTGATCCCCATTGACTCCAATTTTCTAGGACTCCTTGATGCCGCACTTGGTAAAATGTGGCCTTGATGTCCAAGGCTGGCACTTTCATCTGCCCTCTGGAATTTAGCTCTTTTGTCCATACGTGAACCAAGATTGTAATAAGGTCAGGAGTTGTGTGGCCTTGGCGGAAGCCAAGCTGGGCGACGCTGAGCAGGTGCTGCTTGATAGCACAGTTGATGACACCTTTCATCACTTTACCAATGATCAAGATAGATTGATGGGGCAGTAATTTGCTAGGCTGGAAATGTCCTTTTTGTTTACAGAAGTAATTTGGGCAATTTTTCACATTGTCAGGTAGATGCCAGTGTTTAAGCTGTACTGGAAATACTTGGCTAGAATTGCGGCAAGTTCAGGAGCACAAATCTTTAGGACTGTTGCTGGAATGTTGTCAGGGCACATAGCATTTTCAGTAGTCAGTGTGCACGGCTGTTTCTTCATATCATGCAGAGTGAATAAAATTGGCTGAAAACTGTAATGCTAGGGATCTCTGGAGGAGACCAAGATGGGTCGTCTACTCAGCACTTCTGACCGAAGGTTATTGCGAATGTTTCAGCCTTAACCTTTGCACAGATTTGCTGAGTACCTCAAACATTGAGGAAAGGGATATATGTGTAGTTTCCTGCGGTTGTCCATCTCTGTTTATAACTGGATGAGGCAGGATTTCGATCTGATCCATTGGTTTAGGAATCACATGTCAATCACTTATTGCTTATGCTGTTTGGCACGCAAGTAGTCCTGTTTTGGAGTTTAACCAGGTTAACCCCACGGTTGTAAGTATGCCTGGTGCAGTTCTTGGCATGCTGTCCTGCATTCTTCACTGAACCAGGGTTGATCCCCCAGCTTGATGGTAATGTAGAGTGAGAGATATGTCAGACCATGAGGTTAGGGATTGTGTTCGAGTTCAACAGCTGCCTCAATCCAAATACAAATTGTAATATTAATTCATTGTAACAAGAACTGTACGCATCCTCTTACAAGCATATATCCTGAGGAGTTCTATACGTTAGCAGCCCTTCAGTATACTATGTCAGAAACTGTATAAGCGGTGGCCTTTCCTCACTGTCTTTGGGGTGGCTGCTCCAAGCTTTAGTGCAGCATGGACAGGGTGAATAGAAACCATCTATTGCCCTTAGTTTAAGGGTCAATAACAAGGCAGCATAATTTTAAAGTGAAAGGTGGGCGATTTAGAGGGGATTTGAAGAAAAATGCTTTCACCTAGAGAATAGTGAGTGTCTGGAATGCATTACCTGAGAGGGTGGTTGAGGCAGGAAACCTCACACCCTTTAAAAATAACTTGGATGAGCACTTGAACTGTCAAAACATAAGGCTATGGGCCTGGTTCGGGGAACTGGGACTAGTGTAGGCATTAGTATATGTTTTTGGTAGTACAGATTTGAAGAGATGCGGGCCTCTTATGATTCTATTGTTCACTCCATGAAAAGTCCTAGACCAAAACAGAAATTGTTGGAGAAACTCTGCAGGTCTGGCAGCATTTGTAGAGAGAAAACAGTTAACATTTCGTGTCCTGTTACCATTCCAGCAATTTCTGTTTCTGTTTCCAATCTTCAGCATCCGCAGATCTTTGTTTTACATAATGTGCTAGTCTTCAGCATTGGATTGAGGACAACTGTTTACACTGGAAGACCAATAAGTTCAGGTCAGACCAAACAGTGCCATTCACCAAATGGATGGTCCTCCAGTCGGAGTTGATGTTTGTCCCAGCGTGCATCCATGGAAACAGCCCCTACAGCACAGATTCATGCATCACGGTACCGCTCAGGCCAAATCTTGACAAGAAAACAGGACATTTCTCTCCAGATTTTCTTTTCAAAGGCACTTTCAGAAGGAGATGAATGACAGTTTCTTCACCACGGCAGCTCTCTCCAGGGCATTGTACAGTGACGCAGAAAGCCCAGGCGTGCATGAACAATTTGACAGGAAGTGTCCATCTCGTCACCAAACAAGCTACACCTTAGTGCTTGTTTGAAAGTTCTGATGATGATGCATGCTGCCAAATGGCATTGACAGCCTGCTCCTGGAACTACCTTACAGGATTGACTGTCTAAGTTTTCTGCAGGACCTCAAAGGTATTTTAAACAGAACATGCCTGAAATATTTCTGATAAAAGTTCTTGCCCTGTATAAATATTTTCATGCTTCAACTACTTGGCGCATTCCACTGCAAGGTGGTCAAACCTATCCTTCACAAAACTATACTTTTGTAGGGAATAACACAAGCTTAGATAAAATACATTCAGGTTATGGTGCATAACTTGCTTTGCCATTCTGCATTCTCATTTTAAGGGAATTTAGCACTTTAAAATATGAAATTCTTTTGTCCATGAATTTTAACGAAAGCTATATAATGTACTCCAACTGAAAATAAGAACTGTTTTCAAAAATAAATTTGAAAGCAAACACAAGAAACATTCAAAAGTAACATGAGATCATTGAAAGGAACTTTCAACAAATCAAAACTCAGTGATTTTATCCTCTTATTCTTCTAATATTTGGTGACAGAAAATCATGGATATGAGGCAGAAACTGTCCACAGGAAATTGGGAAAATCTACTAATGGGTAAACTAATTGATGAACAGTGGAAAATGTTTAAAGAAGCATTTAACACAATACAAAACCAGTTTGTACCCCTGAGAAGGAAAAGCTCCACTTCACAGAAATTAACAGTCATGGACAACTAAAAAGATAATGGACAGCATAAAACTAAAAGAAAGGGCTTACAAAATGCAGAAGAAAACACAGACATTGCTGCACAGGAAAGATATAAAGATCAGGAAAGATACAAAGATCAGCAACGGGCCACAAAGCAGTTTATCAGAGGGGCTAAAAAAGGGGTGATGAGAGAAAACTTGCCAGAGACATCAAAATGAAGAAGAAAAATGTTACATAAAGGGAAAGCAGGCGGTCAGGAGCAATGTTGGTCCACTAAAGACCGAAAGTGGCGATATTGTCAATGACTATGGGGTAATGGCAGACATATTAAATAATTACTTTTCCTCAGTATTTACAGGAGTAAAGTAGCTTACTGGAAGTGCTGAGGAAACTAACAGTGGATCAGGGTCAGGGACTGAATAAATGTAACGGAAGTAAAACATTGGTAATGGGGAAATTAATGGAACTAAGAGTGGGACCTGATGGTTTTCATTCAAAGGTGTAAAGGGAGCACATTGTAGATACACTAACTATAATCTTTCAGCGCTCCTGAGATACAGGAGTCATGCCCCTAGATTGGAAATTTGCACTTGTCACCCTGCATTTTAAGAAGGGCAAAAGAGGAGAACCAGGGAATTATAGAGCAGTTAGCCTAACGTCTGTAGTGGGATAATTGTTAGAGTGTATAATCAAGGATGAGGTATTTGAACACCTTGAAATTTTCAGTTAATCAAGGAGAAACAGCATGGAATCAAGACAGGTAGGTTGTGCCCAACGGACCTCATTGAATCTTTTGAAAGGGTGACTAAGGTCATAAGGGAACATCTATGGAAGTTGTTTATATGCACTTCCAGAAGGCATCTGATAAAGTCCCACATGAGAGACTGTTAACAAAGGTAGAAGCCCAAGAACTGATGGAAAATTGCTGATCTGGCTGGGAAATTGGTTGAGTGACAGGCAACAGAAAATAGGGAAATGAGTAGGTACTCAAATTGGCAGGATGTGACCTATGGTGTCTCACAAGGATCATCATCCTGTGTTAGGACTTCAATTATACACAATATTCATTAACAACTTGGGCAATAGCAATGGAAAGTCCAAATTTGCTGATGACACAGATACATGACATTGCAGACAACGTAGATGATTGCAAAGATATATCAATAGACTAAGTGAATGGTCAAAACTGTGGCAGCTGGAGGTCAAATGTAAGCAAGTTGTGAGGTTATCTATTTGGAACTAAAAATGGATAGACCAGGGTACTTTCTTGACGGTATGAAGTTAAAAACAGAGGGTGTCCAAACAGAGTTCGGGCTTTAGGTGCGTACATCTTTACAACGTCACAAACAGGTGCAGGAATTAACAAGAAAGCTAATGGAATGCTGGCCTTTATATCTAGAGGATTGGACTACAAGGATGCAGAAGTTATGCTGCAGTTATTCAAAACCCTGATTAGAGCCCACTCAGAGTACTATGAGCAGATCTGGGTATTACACATTGGGAAGCATATATTGGCCTTGGAGGGAGTACAATGTAGATTTATAAGAATGATACCTGAACTTCAGGGATTAAGTTATGAGAAGAGATTATAAAGTTAGGTCTGTTTTCTCTCAAATTTAGATGGTTAAGCGTGATCTGATCAAAGTCAAAGAATTAGGGCCAGACCATTCAGGAGAGACATTGGGAAACACTTCTATAACTCAAAGTACGGTAGGTGTTTAGAACTTTCTTTCACAAATGGAAGTGGATGCTGGATCAGTTGTTAATTTTAAATCTGAGATAGATTTTTTTTATCAAGCAAAGGTATTAAGGGATATGAGGCAAAGGCAGGTATTTAGTGTTAGGCTACAGATCAGCCATGATCTCATTGAATGGTGGTCTAGCCTCAAGGAGCTTTATGGCCTATTGTTGTTCCTATGTTCCTATAACAAAAATCAATAATCTAGTTGAAATAATTAACCCATTAATGAGTTTAAGTCCATTGCAGATTGTATGCTTCATTAATTTTGTAAAAGCATTAATTACTCAGTGTAACCAATCAATTGATGGTTTAATTAATAGGTTTGATCTTACCTGTTGAGTAATTTCTATGAATGTAGGATGTTGGATATGGACTGGCAAGGTGCCTACGCCTTGAGGGATAGCGTTCACAGCTACGGTACCCATGGGCACCAGGCAGTGGTAAAGCAGCACAGTATTGATAGCTTGGATTTGTCGGTGTACAAATGGCCTCAGCATTGGGAATCAACCAGCTGCTTACTGGAAAGAAGAAAAAATAGTTCTAGTAAAATCAGTGAAAATAATATTTCAGTAGCTATGTTCTTAATTGTTTTACATCAACTATACTGTCTGCACTGTATTTCCAATAGCTAACCCAAAAGCAACTTCTTAAATTCTAAAGTATTGGTATTTAAGTCTGTCTTAAACTTTAATATTTAACTTGCAATAAAATGTGTGTTAGGGTAAGAAGGTTGACGATTTCAGCATTTGAAAGTAATGCAATTTGGAAAACGGACAAAAAAAGTTGTGAAAATGAGAATCTATTATTGCAAAATTTCCCACTTAGATTCTTCTAATCGCAAAGTAGTTGCTAATATCAATGAGGAATATAGGTACTTACAATGACTTATCAAAGAAATTGCCAGAGCTCAGGCAATGATGTCAAATTGTGCTCTGTCCCCAAGTACTCAATTTGAAAAAAAGATGGAAAAGCACTATTCAATTTGGATATATGTTTTTTAAAAAGTGGAATTATGCAGTGCCTACAGACCTGTAAAACATAGCTTCATCCATAAAATTATGAATTATTTCAAATATATCAGTGAAATAATTAGATGTAGTATCCAGGTTGTGCAGTACATTTCCATATGGTATTGAGAACATAAAAAATTGAATGAAAATGATATAGATGTTGAATCTGTTTCTTGCTACATATAAGATTTTGGCAAATTAATAAAACAAGAATCAGATTTCCAAATATTACCAGGGCAAAATAAGTAAGTTTGTTTTTAGAAGTAAAAAAAAAGTGAAATCACCACCAATAGTGGTGCAAACATGAAAGATGTATAGGCTCTTCATTTTAATTATTCCAAATTTACTTACCAACACCCAGTTCACTTCCTCCCCGCAATTCATCAAGATTAATATAAAACTATCACCCTCATAGCTCCAATGATCTAATCTTGTTACCAAACTCAATGATCATTATCACACCAATATTTTACATACTAGCATGCCTGCATTGGAAGTTTAGTACTGCACTTACTATGAGAGTAACTTATGTGCTGATTTTCAGAAAGATCATCTGTGCAATCCTTATAACTGGCTCTGTAAGAGTTCAAATAAAGATATGGAATTATAGATCTTGGAACATCTTTGTTGCTTAAATGTTCCGTCATTCAATTTAAAAATATATAAATCCTGCCTTTCTACATCCCAAAAGAGAGGACCTCTTGTTGGCAAGTGCATCCCCCTGAGCCACTGAAAATCATGTATTTGAGCTTCACTTTCTGCTATGGAGCAGGTTACCAATATAAACAGGTATTCTTGGTGTCAGACTGGATGCCCTTTTTCCTAAATATGTAAGTTGGTCTCAATATTGATTATAAAGTTCCATTTAAAAAAAAACGTAATACGCATTATTATATATCTTTTGACCAGTGACCGTCTAGAAGGTCAGTGGCAGAGGTGCATGGGAGGACAATCAGCTGCAAGTTCCCATTCAAACCATGCAGCAGCCTGACTTGTAACTGTACTGTGTTTCTTCACTGTCACTGGGCCAAAATCCTGGAATTACCTTCCAACCAGCACTGTGGGTGTACTACATCAATATGGACTGCAGTGGTTCAAGAAGGCAATTCAACACTCACTTCGGGGATTAGGAATGGTAAGAAAATAATAAATACACACCTTTGCAGTGAAAGGCTGTTATTTATCTCTTATTTGCCGAACACAGTTTTGAGCATTGTTGCAATTTGATCTGTACAAAATTTGTAAGATGTTAATTCCTTTGGGAATTCCAACTTTTCAAGATTTACAGAAGGGAGATTAATTCATTGAGGTTTAAAGATGGGTAGGTTTGAATATACCACAGGTGCCATGTACCCACCCATCCTTAAACCAGAATGTATAATTATAGAGGTAGTAGGAACTGCAGATGCTGGAGAATCTGAGATAACAAGGTGTAGAGCTGGATGAACACAGCAGGCCAAGCAGCATCATAGGAGCAGGAAGGCTGACGTTTCGGGCCTAG